TTCCTGACATAACAGAGGTCTGGATTTCATCCTAAGAACAAAGGGGAACCTGGAAACAAAGGGGCACCTTCCTTATGCGCCAGGGACAGACTGGGTCAATAAGGGAACAAGTACTGGGCATGGCTATGGTACACTGAAGAGTGGATCCCACCTCCAGGAGTTACTGTTGCAGGCACCCAGCTTCTACTACAAGGTCTTCCAGTTTCTGCAAAGAAGCCCAGGCTCAGAGACAGTGTAAAACTGCACAGATTCTCCATGGTGGGAACTGATTCATGTTTTTTTTAAAAACAAACCCTTTGGGGAGCCTTAACCTACACCTCTAGGCCCCATGTAGACTCCCAGGTAGTACCTGGTTAAAGAAAGAACTGTGGGGCTTGGTCCTACAAGCAATCCAGTTATGCTTCCATATATCAGACCAATGCAAATAGAAGAAACATGGATAGATTACTATTTGTAACTGTACAAATAGTGTAGCCTTGATAAGGTTTCATTTTATTAAAACATAAAAGTTGATCACAGTGATCACTTGAACCCCTAGGAGACATATATGAGGGCAGACCCACAGGTGCCTAAATGCAGAGAATTGAGAGAGGTCTTGATGGTCCTTCTGAGGACTCCATCTTTCACAAGCATTGTCGGAGTTGTCAGTTTACATTTGTTTATGTAATTTTTTTTGCAAGAATGCCAGTCTCCCTACTAGAATATTTACAGAAATACAAAAATATTCCCAAATCACAATGTCTGACATCCAATCAAAAATAAACAGTGATACACAGGAGCAGGAAAATATAACCCAAAATGAGAAGAAAAATCAGTCACTTAAAACAGGCATAACATGAAAACATGCTCATCATTACTATTAGAGAAATGCAAATCAAAAGTACGAGGTACCACCTCACACTGGTCAGAATGGCCATCATTAAAAAGTCTACAAATAATAAATGCTGGAGAGGGTGTGGAGAAAAGGGAACAATCTTACACTGTTGGTGGGAATATAAATTGGTGCAGCCACTATGGAAAACAGTATGGAGGTTCCTCAAAAAACTAAAAATAGAGCTACCATATGATACAGCAATCCCAATCCTGGGCATATTCCCAGACAAAACTATAATTTGAAAAGATGCATGCACCCCTATGTTCATAGCAGCACTATATACGATAGCCAAGACATGGAAACAACCTAAATGTCCATCAACTGATGAATGGATAAAGATGTGGTACACACACACACACACACACACACACACACACACACACACTGGAATATTACTTAGCCATAAAAAAGAATGAAATAATGCCATTTGCAGCAACATGGATGAACCTAGAGATTATCATACTAAGCGAAGTAAGTCAGAAAGACAAATATCATATGATACCACTTATATGTGGCATCTAAAATACAACACAAATGAACATACCTACAAAACAGAAACAGAGTCACACAGAGAACAGATTTGTGGGTGCCAAGGGAAAGGGGGGCGTGGAGGAGGGAAGGATTGGGAGTTTGGGATTAGCAGATGCAAAGTAGTATATATAGGATGGATAAACAGCAAGGTCCTACTGTATAGCACAGGGAACTATATTCACATCCTGTGATAAAACATAATGGAAAAGAATATGAAGGATATATATATGTATTACTGAATCACTTTGCTGAACAGCAGAAATTAACATTGTAAATAAACTATATTTCAATTAAAAAAAACAGATGCAGAATGACAGATAGTAAAAGTAGAAGACATTAAAACAGAAAAATTTATTCCATATGTCTAAGAAGCTAGAAGAATGAACATGTGAAGTAGAGACATGAAAGACATAAGGAAGACCCTAATCCAACTAAAGGAGATAAAAACTATAAATTATGATATGAAATATGCTGGATGGGATGAAGGGGAGAGTGCACATAGAAGAAAAGATTAGGAAACTGGAAGATGTAGCAGTAGAAACTATTCCAAATGAAGCCAAGAGAAAAAAAAAACAAATATAACAAAATTCATCAGTGATCTTTAATAAGCAATCCTCATTATTTGCGAATTCACCTATTCACTGAACTTTATTTGTAACTCCCAAATCAATACTCATAGCATTTTTGCAGTCATTTGCAGACATGTGCAGAGTGATAAAAAATTTGAAGTTGCCCATCATGCATGTTACCAGCTAAGGTCAAACACGGTGTCACTCTGCCTTCTGGTGTCAGCTTTCATATTATAAAGTGTCCTTTTCGCAATCTCTTTAGTGCCACACTTTTTTGAATTTTTGTGCTTTTTGGGTGATTTTGCTGTTGAAAATGGCCCCCAAGCACAGTGTTGAAGTGCTGTCTAGTGTTTGTAGTGCAAGAAGGCTATGATAGAGAAAATACACGTGTTAGATAAGCTTCATTCAGTCATGACTTATGCAGCCATTGGCTGTGAGTTCAATGTTAATGAATCAACAATATGGCACATCCAAAACTAGGAAGAGGAAATTCACCAGTCTCTACATGTGGCCACTCCAGAAATGTTAAAAGTGTCAGGGGAAACTCTGACTGAAACTGACTGCCCTGGCCAGGCAAGATAGTAGCCACTTTTATGAGTTACAACAGGAGGTCCTGGTAAGGAATGCGGAATACCACCGGAATACCACCAACTGGAAGAATTCGGGAAAGGTCAAAAGGAGAAAGGAGACACCAGTCCATATGTCCTTCCAACCTCCCAGAATCCTTCTCACTGGAATCCATTTTGGCTGAGCAATGCATGTACCAACAGGAAGGACCCTGAATCAGAATGACTGGCCAGAGACAACCCAGAAACTAACCCCATTTCCATAAAACCCGAGATTGCAAGCCACGTGGCAGAGCAGTTCTCCTGGTTTCCCTTACCCTGTTGCTCTCCACACGGGGAACCCCTTCCCAATAAAGTCTCTTGCTTTGTCAGCATGTGTGTCTCCTCAGACAACGCATTTCCAAGTGTTAGACAAGAGCCCACTCTCGGGCCCTGGAAGGGATCCCCCTTCCTGCAACAAAAGTAACATCTATAGTAGTGTAATGAATCTAAGAAAAAGATGGAAAAGTGGCAAAAGCTGTGGATTCATGAGATGAAGACCGACTAAAAAAAAACAAAACTGTACAAGACAGCATTGAACATACCCACTCCAACCTAAACGATCTTTTCATACCCCTAAATACTACATGTTATCCAACCTCTCAATCAGGACATAATAAAAGCACAACATGAGGGAGCTTTTTAGCAAAGTTCTCAACACCAACAAAGAAACCACCATGGGACTTCCCTGGAAGTCCAGTGGTTAAGACTGTGTTTCCACTGCAGGGGGTGCGGGCTCAATCCCTGGTCAGGAAACTAAGATCCCACGTGGTGCATGGTGTGGCCTAAATAAATAAATAAAAGAAACCACCATGATGGACTACTGGATGTCCGTCACCATATGCACTATTATTGTGTTGGCACAGCCTGGGATAATAACAAGCAGACTACTATCATTAACTGTTAGGAAAATGCTTCGCCAGACTGCCTGAAAAATTTCAAAGGCTTTGAAGGTGTTACAGAAAATATAAAGGACAGTGTCAAACACATAATGCATATCACATGGCATATAAGTAAAAAAGGCTTCAATGACATGACGGAAGACATGGAAGAAATTCTGGCAGAGAAGGAAGTGGAACCCACCAACAAAGACCTGGAAGAGATGGCAAAACACGGCAACAACCTCTCCTTTGGTTTTCCTGGGTCAGGAGATTAATCCACTCAGGGCACTGCCCCATCACACATCCTGCAGTTCTATCAAAATCAGAGTTTTAATGTTTTTAATTTTGGTTAATTTTTAATTGTTTCTAGGACTTTCTTTGCATGACTGTACTGTAGAGCAGTATACTGTATAGTGTTTACATGTTTATTTTATATGAGTACTGCATATGTGTACTGTTTGTATGTATGACTGAGTGAAAAAGTTAAAGCAGTACAGTAACAATACACAAAAATGATATAAAATATTTTTTATTATAAGGAAATATTGGATGTAACATAAGAAACATTTATTAAATAAGGTGTCTTTAAAAACAGAAAAAAATTCCATAAAAGATTATGTATTGGGACTTCCCTGGTGGCGCAGTGGTTAAGAATCCGCTGCCAATGCAGGGGACATGGGTTCAATCCCTGCTCCGGGAAGATCCCACATGCTGCAGAGCAACTAAGCCTGTATGCCACAACTACTGAGCCTGCATGCCACAACTACTGAAGCCTGCATGCCTAGAGCCCGTGCTCCACAACAATAGAAGCCACCACAATGAGAAGGCCATGCACTGCAACAAAGAGTAGCCCCCGCTTGCCACAACTAGAGAAAGCCCATGCACAGCAATGGAGACCCAATGCAGCCAAAAAAAAAAAAAAAATTAAAAAATAAAGAAATAAAAAGATTATGTACTGATTGGTTGATGAAAATGTGAACAGAGGCTCACAGGAACTTAAACCTGTATTGCCACTAGGAGCAATGGTTCAGTATTCACTAGTTCAGTGTTTGTGGTGAATTTATAGAATATAACTACCATGAATTAGAAGAATTGACTGCATATGTAGGTGTGTATGTATATGTATTTCATGACTCAGGCCTTATATTCAAGGGTAGACATGACAGTGTTTTGTAACAAAGAACTTTTAATAAATGTTAGCAGAGCTGCCCCAATGGTCCAATTCTCCTGACTATAGATAGATAAGAAAACACATAAAGGTGATGAGGCCTTTTGATCTCTCCCTCTTCATCCCCTCTGCATGTGCACACACACAATTGACAAATTGTCATAGCCTGGCAGGGAAATCAGAAAGCAGCCACACATGCATTTCTCCTTCCTCTCTTCTACATCTCTTTGTTCTTTTAAAATACTCTTGAGATGGATTTATAGTATAAACATAGGAAGAACTGTTGCTGACATTTTCCTCAAATGCATGACAACCACTGAGTCTCTCTCGTGGATGACTCTCAGGTGTAGTGTAGAGCTGCAGGCTGGGTCAATTTCTAGATGACCTGCCACAGAAAGCTTTCACAGAGATGAAAATTATGATGTTTCTCTTCAGATGCTGAGTAAGATATTTCTCTGGGCAAAAGACTTCCCTGAATAGTTATACTTAAAAGGAAAGGTATTTCACCAGTATAAGTTCACTAAAATTGACTGAAGTGAACACATTTGCAAAAGGCCTTGTTACATCTTTTAAACTCTGGTGTGAATCTTTCGATGGTGAATGAAGGATGAACTATGGCTGAAGGCCTTCCCACATTCACCACATTCAAAGGGTTTCTCTCCAGTGTGAGTTCTCATGTGTTGAGTTAAGGCAAAGTTGTCACAAAAGGCCTTTTCACATTCTTTGCACTCATAGGGTTTTTCTCCAGTGTGGATCCTATTATGCCGAACAAAATTTGCAGGTTGGGTAAAGGCCTTTCCACATTCTCTGCATACATAAGGCTTTTCTCCAGTGTGAATCCTCATGTGGCGAGTAAAGGAAGAGCTATAGTAAAATGCTTTTGCACATTCTTTACATTCCAAGGGTTTTTCTCCACTATGGGTCCTATTATGTCGGATAAAAACAGAATGGTGTGTAAAGGCCTTTCCACATTCACTGCACTCATAGGGCCTCTCACCAGTGTGAATCCTCATGTGTTGAATTAAGGAAGAGCTGTCACAAAAAGCTTTCCCACATTCTTTGCACTCAAAGGGCTTCTCTCCAGTATGGGTCCTCTTATGCCGAATGAAAGTGGAGCGGTGAGTAAAGGCCCTTCCACATTCGCTGCACTCATAGGGTTTCTCTCCAGTGTGAATCCTCATGTGTTGAGTGAAGGATGAGTTCAGACAGAAAGCTTTTCCACATTCTTTGCACAAAAAGGGTTTTTCTCCTGTGTGGGTCATATTATGCTGGATAAAAGTGGAGCGGTGAGTAAAGGCATTTCCACATTCACTGCACTTGTAAAGTTTCTTTCCAGTGTGAATCCTCATGTGTTGAGCAAAGGAAGAGCTGTAGTAAAAAGCTTTCCCACATTCTTTGCACAAAAAGGGCTTTTCTCTAGTGTGAGTCATATTATGCTGGATGAAAGAGGAGCGGTGGGTGAAAGCTTTACCACATTCTTTGCACTCATAGGGCTTGTCTCCAGTGTGAATACGCTGGTGCTCTGTGAGGTGAGACCTGCGTTTGAAGGCCTTCCCACACTCAATACACTTGTATGGCTTTTCCCCAGTATGAAACCTCATATGTCGAATGAAGTCTGCCATATAACGACAGGCTTTCCCACATTCACTGCATTCATAAGGCTTCACTCCAGCATGAATCTGTTGATGCCGAACAAGGGCCCAATTCTTGCTAAAACCTTTTCCACATTCCTTGCATCTGTAGAGATTATTCCTTGCATCAGTAACAGGGTCTCCTCCTGGTTCTTGGGAATCACGTTCATGCAGAGCATCTCGTGTAGTGACTCGCTCCTGTAAAACCCTTAAATAAAGACTATCATGTGTCTCAAAGTCATCATGTTTATGGCTCAACTTCCTAGGGCATGTCTCCTTGTGGATGTCTGTTCCTGGCCTCAAGTTCCCTTCCTGCATTTCTGACAGTTCTTCCTGATCCCTTGCTTGCTCCAGCCTGGAATGCCTTGAGGCTCCATGTGTCACTCGTTCCTCAAAAGGGGCTCCCTCAGTGAGGACCAGGTGAGAAGCAGTAAGCTCTGTGATCTCAGGTTTTGCTTTTTCACCTGAAGGAAATCCAATATAAGAAAGGTGCCTATTAGTGATGTCAACACAGAACAAAATAAATTACCACTTTAGTGGAAGAATGAAGGTGAAAATAAAGCCTCTACTGTCTATGGCATTTTTACATCTTTTAAACCCAGGTTTAAAATTTCTTTCTTTACTGATCCTTGGACTCTTGACATCTTTAAAAGGTAACCCAGGAGGAAAATCTGGTACAGAATAGAAAATCTGGAGTGGAGACTCCTCCTCACTCTCCAGAATGGGGTAGGGTGGACAGAGTAATGATAATGACTGTGTTCCAATATCTCATAGTGCTATGACAGCACAGGGAAGGTGGACCTAACTTGGCCCAGATGGAAGACAGAAAGAGGTCAGTGGAGGCTACCTGGACAAGGTGCTACATGAGCTTATTTCTAAAGATGAGTAGGAATTCCCTGACAGAGGGATTAGGAGAAAAATTGTAGCAGATGACTGAAAGTACAAAGGTTCGGGGTTTTGAGAGAATGTTGAATGCCAGGCAAAGAGAAGAGGATGACAAGATGGTGGAGAGGGAGGCAGGGAAAGAGGAGAAACAAAATCTTAGGATTCTGGAGTGTGTGAAAGTTGGGGCAGGGCAGTGATAAGCAACTGGGTGCAAATATTGAGTCTATTATATCTAGTAAAGACTAGGTGAACAAACTCAAAATAGATAACATTTAGATGAAGTAAACCAGAAAACATATCACATTAATGAAGATTTATATGAAAAGAGATTAATAATATAAAGTTGCCAATTTCCCTCAAATTCATCTATAAATTTAATACAACTTCAGATAAATCCCAGTAGGGTTTTTCATGGTTATTGGCAAGCTGATTGTGGAATTTATATAAAATAACAGAGAGACCAGGATATCTCCGAAGAAGAATAAAGCAAGGGGACTTGCCCTTTGAGGAATTAGGATTATGATGAAATCATATACACCAAGGCAGTGTGATGTAGCATAGATATAAGATAAGCTGTCAAATTGTCAAAGGAAAAAACAGAATTGGGAGCTCAGAAATGTATACATGGAACTTTGATATATGACAAAAGCAGCAGAGACACCAGTGGAAAAAGGAAGGAATACAGCAAGTCCCCTATATACGAACCTTCAAGTTGTGAACTTTCAAAGATGCGAACAAGGAGCTTACTAATGAAGACTGGATGGAATTGGAGGCTCAGAGAAAGAATGAAGAGAGACAACAGGAAGAAGAAGTAACTGAAGAACCAAAGAGATTCATGATGCAGGAAATGGCAAGGGAATTTTCTTTATTTGAGGAGGCACTGTTAGTCTTTGAGGCACAGGACCCAAACGTAAACAGTACACAAAAGTTGCAGCAGCCATTCAGAATGCAATCCAGTGCTACTGTGTCATCTATGACAAGAAAAAAATAGCTACTATCCAGACATCACTGGATCATTTTTTTCAAGAGGGTAGACAGAATTGAATCCAGCACGGAACCAGAACCTGTGCCATCAATGTCAGGTGTGAAATTGCAGCTTGCTCTTCTCCTATTGCTGATGATCCTTCAGCTCTACCATCTCCCACCTCCTCCAGTCAGTAACTCTTCTTGCCAGTTCACTCTATGCCAGCTCCTGTATACCAGCTGTTGTACTATACTACTGTACTTTTCAAGGTACTGTACTGTAAGATTAAAAATGTTTTCTTTATTTTTCGTTTGTGTTTGTTTTTTATGTATTAGTTGTGTGAGAAGTCTTGTAAACCTATTACAGTACAGTGCTATATAGCTAATTGTGTTAGTTGGGTACCTAGGCTAACTTTGTCGGACTTACAAACAAATTGGACTTATGAACGTGCTCTTGGAACAGAACTTGGTCATATGTAGGGGGCTTGACTGTATTCAATAAATGAATGTAGAAAAATTATTTGCCACAATGGAAGAAAATGAAATTGTATTTCTATCTTGTACAAAACAAAAAATTAATTCCAGACTGATTAAGACTTAACTGTTAGAAGCTAAAGATCAAAAACTTCTAACAAATAGTGAAAATGACTATCTTTTAGATCTTGGGGAAAAGGAAGATTTCATAAACATACAGAAGCATTCTTTATAAAAGACTAATCAATCTGACTAAACTAAATATAATTTTTAAAAAGGTAAACAAAGAAAGATGGCTATATTAACATCAGGACTATATTAACAGACTACAGAGCAAAGAAAATGGGACAAAGAGGGACATTATATAATGATAAAAAGATTAATCCAACAGGAAGACATAACAATCCTAAATCTGTATGTACCAAATATAAGAGCCTCAAAATATACAAACCAAAAACTGCGTTGAAAGGAGAAATAGACAAAACTACAATTACAGCTGGGGACTTCAACACTCCACACCCAAAATGAAAACTGAACGTATTATGAACTGATATTTCACAGATGTATATTGGCCAATCAACATATGAAGAGATAACTCAAATTTCTTAGATATGAGGGAAGGGCAAATTAAGACTACAGTGAGAGACCATTTTATATTCACCTGATTGAAAAAACTTATCAAGTGTTAGGGTATGGATCCATGGAATTGTTCATACAAGGCAGGTGAAGTGTAAGTGGGTATAAATAACCATTTTAGAAAACAACAGGGCATCATCTAGTAAAGTTCTCCTTTTGCTTAACTTATAATCCCCAAATTCTAGTCCTAGGAATATTACTAAGAGAAATTCCTACACGTTTGTGAGAACATATGCATGTGAATTTTCATGGCTGTATTGTCTGTGGGTACAAAAAATTAGAAACAAGAAAATTCCCATGAAAATGGATGAATACATTGTGTTATACTCATATAAATGACCATAGAAGAAAAAAATGAGTAAACTATAGCTTCATGCATCATGAATCTTAGTAATGTACTGTTAAATGAAAAGTACAAATCCTATACAACAACATAAATGGATACTTTTTATAGTATTCAAATAAAAAAGCAAACCATACACACACAAGTACGATGAACAATCTTTATTTTTTTGAGAATGTCAGTTGTTTTTTATTTTTTTTTTTTGCGGTACGCGGGCCTCTCCCTGTTGTGGCCTCTCCCATTGCAGAGCACAGGCTCTGGACGCGCAGGCTCAGTGGCCATGGCTCACGGGCCCAGCTGCTCTGCGGCATGTGGGATCTTCCCGGACCGGGGCACGAACCCGTGTCCGCTGCATCAGCAGGCAGACTCTCAACCACTGCGCCACCAGGGAAGCCCGAGAATGTCAGTTTTTAATGGCATTATAAAAATGATATGTACAATACATACCTAAAATTTAAATTGTGGTAAAATATACATAACATAAAATTTACCATTTTGAGATGAAACCATCTTAAAAAGTAATGGATAGAATAATTAGATGAAGTGGACAAATTCCTTAAAAGACTCAAATTACCAAAACTGATACAAGAAAAAACAGAATATCTGAATAGCCCTGTATTTACTCAAAAAACAAATTTTGGTATGGACTGAATGTTTGTGTTCCACCAAAATTCATGTGTTGAAGCCCTAACCTCCAATGTGTATTTGGAGATAGGGACTTTACAGAAGTAATTAAGGTTAAATGAGGTCATAAGGGTAGGGACCTGAGAGGATTAGTATCCTTATAAGAAGATACACCAAGGGACTTCCCTGGTGGTCCAGCGGTTAAGACTCCTCACTCCCAATGCAGGGGGCCCGGGTTCGATCCCTAATCAGGGAACTAGATCTTGCATGCTACAACGAAAGATCCCTCATGTCGTAACTAAAGATCCCTCGTGCTGTAACTAAAGATCCCACAAGCCACAACTAAAGATTCTGCATGCCACAACTAAAAGATTCCCACGTGCCGGAACTAAAGATCCCGCATGCTGCAACGAAGATCCTGCACGCGGCAACGAAGATCCCGTGTGCCGCAACTAAGACCCAACACAGCCAAATAAATAAATAAATAGATATTTAAAAAAAAAAAAAAAAAAGAAGAGACATCAGAGAACTCTCCTTCTCTTCCCCACCACCCCCAGCACCACACACCACACCTAGGAAAGGCCATGGTCTCTTTGTCTTCATATAAGAACACTAATCCCATCATGGGTGCTCCATCCTCATGACCTCATCTAAACCCAATCACCTCCCAAAGGCCCCACATCTTAATTTCATCACATTGGGGTGTTAGAGATTCAACATACAAATTTTGGGAGGACACAGATATTCAGTTCATAACAAGGTTACATGAGAAAATGTAAATCAATCATCACAGTGCATGGCAAGTGTTCTGTAAATTCTAGACCACTGTCTCCTATCATTATCACAGTTGTTGCATTTGTCCATCAGAATGTCAACAGTAACCTGTAAGAACATTTTTAGTACTGTGGTGCTGAGAAATACCCCTACTCAAAGAGTAAAGGGGCAGATACCACCTACTCACTAGTATCTGAAGCAATGAGGACTCTTACACGTGGCCGGTGGGAATGTGAAACGGTGCAGTCACTTTGAAACTGATTGATGGCTTCTTTTAAAGCTAATCATGTAACTACACCATGATCCAGCCAGTCCACTCGTATGTATACTCCCAACAGAAATGCATGCTTATAGCCAACAAAAAATATGATCAAGAATATTCATAGCAGCATTCTTCATAATATTCCAAAAATGGAGAACAGCCAAATGTCCATCAACAGGAAAACAGGTATATATAATCTATTAATTCACTGAGATATTGCACAGCGAGAAACTAACTCCAAATATATGCAACCACATGGGTAAATTCCAGAGTCATAATGATTATCAAAAGAAGACAGAGATAGCAATATCGTGTACTGTGGAGTTCCATTTATAAACCTTCAAAACTAATCTATGGTGACAGAGTCTAAACACTGGTTACTTTTGTAGAAGGGGATATTAATAAGGAGAGAAGTACAAAAAGCCTGAGAGGTGCTGGAAATACTGTATTTCTTATCCTGTGTGGTGGATACTCTGGCTTATATATATGTAAAATTTCATGATGATGAACTTTAAGATTTGTACATTCACTATGTGTAAATTACCCCTCAGTACAAAAATTACAGAAAATAGTAAAGGGGAGGTCTGTGTAGATGTCTCTTCTGAGAATGAGAAAAGTCCTCGAAGAAGCTTGGTAGTTCAGCTGAAATAGAGTCAACAACTTTTGGAGAGCACTGGAGAGCCAAGAGCATTTATTTTTTAAAATGTTTCCCTCAAGTGTCAGAAACTTGACCACGTTTTTTATGTTGAGTAGAGAGAAGATGGAGATATACAAGAGGTAGGAAATAAATGAAGATGCACATTCCCTGATGCAGTGGACAGACTCATGTATGGTTCCCCATAATCCCTGCCTCATGATGTTCACACAGTTTTGATACCCTCTGCCTGAATCCTAGTAGGACCTTGATTTACTTCTAAAGAATAGAATATAACAAAGGTGACAGAATGTAAGATGTAAGAGATAAAGTATACGTGTAAGATCTTTCTTGCTGGAGTCTCTCACACCATTACTTGATTTGAAGAAGTAAGCTGACATGTTGCAAGCAGCCTACGATTGCAGCTTTGCAGAGGACCCAGCTAAGCTGTGCCTGGATTTCTGATCCACAGATGAGAGATAATACATGAGTGATATTTTAATATGAAATAATGAGTGATTTTTAATATTGCTATAGAGCAACAGATAACTAATACACCTGAGAAGGTAAGTGAAAGTATGACCTAGATGCTGCTTGGGGAATTAGCCATGGCTGGGGATGAGAACTCTTCTGAGAGGTGAGAAGGAACCCACAGGGATAAATCAGTAAGGGTTAGAAGGCAAGAAAAACAAGTGAATGGCCTTTATTTTCAAAATGAACTAGGCATATGCTGAGATCTCAGTGGCTAGGGAGGTGGTGATATTTGGAATAAGGTGTGAGTAGATGGGGAAGTGGATGTAAGACATAAAGCTGATCAGAGGCACAGAGCAGATATGGGGGGGACCAGTTAGGAATCTGTTAGCATCATGCAGGCAAAAGATGATTATAGCCTGGACTAGGGTGATGGTGCTGGAACTGATGGAACTGGTGGAGACGATGGATTCAGGAGAAACGTATGATGAAATATGATCAAGATTCAGGGATGGCTGGATATTGGGAATGATGAAAATGGAGGTGTTGAGGGGTTGTTCAAGTTTGTTTTTGGCTTTCTCATCTTAGTGAATGGCAAGGCCATGAATTGAAATGGGGAGACGAGAGGAACGGGCAAGATCATGAGGTCCTTTTTAGGCATGATGGGTGTGAAGTGCCTTTGAAACATTCAAGTGAGAACTGCGGGAAGGGGTGAAGGCTTGAGACAGACTCAGCAGGGCTGAGGAGGCGCTGGCCAGAGATACTCACTGGCTGGCTGAGCAGCCTGAAGGAACCCTAGTGGGGAGAGATCATGAATCTGCGTCAGTGCTATCCACGCACTTGAAGTGGAGCTGACAAAGGCAAATGTCCCCTTGAGGTTTTACAAGACAGGAGGGTAGGAAGATGACAAGGCTAGGGACTGCTTCTGAACATCTCATTTACAAATGGAAGGATGGATGCATGCAGGGATGTATAGATAAATAAATGATTGGATGCAGGTAGAAAAGAGTGGGAATGCAAAATATAGTTGGAGATAGTAATCTGCAGAAAAAGAAAGGACTGTCTTTTCTGAATCTGGAAGGAAGTTTGAGATATCATTGTTCTCTATTCATTATGAGTAATAATATATGAATATTACTAGTAGGTAAATTTATTAAGCCACTAACTTTGGGTCAGGCAATGTCCTAATAAGCAGTTTCAAGTTATCTAATTACATTCCCAAACAATACAGTGATGCAGAAACTATTATTACTCTATCTTTTTCTAATATAGGCTAAGTTTAGCAAACTGAGTATATGTTCATCATATCCCTGGTATTTTGTCCTTGGGCACAAGGTTAAACCACATTTCTATGACAAAACACGTAGCCTAATGCCCAGTTCTTGTCAATGGAATGTGAATGGAAGTGACTGTGTATGCAAGTGGATATGACTACTCCCCTTCTCTCCTGTTCCTCTTGGCCAGGTGGATGATGCCAGGGCCACCTTACAGGCACATACTGACAATAGAATACACCTGGGTCCCTGAATAGATATGTGGTACAGAGCTCCCCTGCTGACCCACATTATACCATGGCACAAATGAGAAACAGTCTTAACCAGTTGACCCACCAAGATTTTGGAGTTATCTCTTATAGCAGGTAGCACCAACTCAGCCTTGAGTTGATATCAAAGGCACAGGGAGATCATGCAACTTCCCCAGGGTCATGAGGCTAGTAAGTGGCCAAGTTTACAGCCCATCTCTTACCCAGTATACCACATTTCAACCCTAGTAAAGGCAAAGAGTGTGATGGGATTGGGAAGACAGAGGAAACACAGTTCAAAGTGCTCCATGACCACCTAAGACCCCAGGAAGGCTGCAAAAAGAAACTGCCCATGGAATTTCAGACACAGTCATTCCCTGGTAGTCTGCCAGCTGCCATGCCACCCACCTGTACAGGTGCTTCTAGAGAGGCCTCTCTTCACTGTCCTTAGTTCTTGCCCATGCTCCAGTAGGTGAATCAGCTCTGGTTTGGGAACAGGATGCCCTGTGCATGGAGAAATAAATGGGGCATGGGTATATAGGTAAAGACAAAAGGAAAACTCTCAAGTATACTGGAGTGTACACCTTTAACACACCACCATGAAACCCCAGAAAGGGGATGACTCCTTCCAGAAGGTTTTCCCTAATTAAATCAATAAGATTCAACCTTCCCATGCATCAGAACTACTTAGACATGCCTGGTTCTAAACACAGAACAAATTAAACCAAATCTCTGGGCATAAAAACTGAGCTCTGGTTGTTTTCAAAGCTCCCCAGGTGATTCTGGTGCCCAAGGATGGCTAAAAACACTAGACTAACTCAACTGATAGTCAGTTATCTGAGGTAGGCCATGACCTAAATTGCTACCCATTCTTAAGAAAAAGCCTTCAATCCAGGTTGGGAAGACAGGGCTGAATGTGGGGACCTGCTGCCTTACTTGCTGCTGCATCATCCTGTGGCCACTTCAAGGATGCTGGCCTGATGATCTGGGCCAAGGAGAGAAAGCAGACAAACAGAGACAACTGGGTTGGTAGATACCAACCCAGGAGCCAGCACCACCTCAGGGCTTCTCATTAGGTGAAGTAATAAACTTTTTTCAGGGTGAAACCTGTATGAGGTGGTTTTCTGGTACATGCAGCCAAATATATGTTGCCAAATTTGAAGGCTAAGGGACAGGAGGACTCTGGAGAGAAGTCAATGACTTAGAAACCAGGACCACAGAAACTCTGATTAGAAAATCCTGTACTGCAAGCCAGAGTGCACCCAGCTGTCACTGAGCAAATGTTCACTGATGTCTGCCATACTCCTGGCACCAAGCTCAGTGATGGGGCCGTGGAAAAGGAGAACCAGATATTCCTTCGCTTCTGTTGGACCTGAGCTCCCTGACCCCTCAGGGACTTGGCTCGTGTTGGTCCCTCCACCTGGAATACTATTCCCCAGATGTCTCCTTTCAACAACTAATCACAATTGTCATAAAATAACACTGGATTTACTTCACTGATGACTGACCTCCTGGGAGAGACTATGTGGACACAAGGCTGGGAGAGCCCTGTCAGAGGTAACCATTTCTGGATAAAGTGGACATTTAAGGTTTAGGTGGGAGAACACTTGGGATTTATTAATTTATTATATATAACAAATGCATGTGTGGCACTTGCTGTGTTCCCAGTTCTATTCTAAGCACTTTACAGATACTAGTTCACTGGGGCTAAGTGGAAGGTTACTATAAAAATATGATAAAACAAAAATAATCATGGTCCCAGCAAGCTCATGCTGCCGACTCAAGTCTGTGAGTCCTGCGACTGTTCTTTCTGCTGAAGGGAAATCAGCCAACAGCCATGTGAACGCTGAAGACTCAGCACTAAGCCCAGACTCTCTCAACAACAGTCAAGAGGCAGGAAAGAAGGGAAAAAGAAATAGCCTTCTCAGACGCCCATCAATGCCATTTGAAAATATGTCTGTGTACTCTCTAAAATTAACTCCCATAGCCTCAGAGAAGCAAGGCACAGGCCTTAGGACGTAAGGGACGACTGTGCAGGTACCAGGGGTCAAAGAAGTCTTTTAGCTGAGATTGTGTTGCTTAGAAAGATACCAGTAGCACCGATGACAAATAGCTTCCTGTCTGTCTAATTCACCATGTTCTTGGAGAACATCCCATTAACCACAGGTCCTGTTAACTGGGCTCTGAGGACATTTGACCCAATCAAGCTGAATTCCAGATCATGGGAATCTGTAATAAGAATGTCAGATTGAGGTCAGCTTATGTTGGACACTTGGGTAAAAGTGTTGAGAAGAATTGCGTTTGTTGTACAACAATCCTTGATGCAGACAAGGAAACCAAGCAAGAGGAGGTTAGATAAGAACATGCTGGGGCTGGAGGGAGAAGGGAAGGCAGGTTCCTCAGGTCTTCTCAACCAGCCATGCTTAGAGAGAGAGAGTGGAATGAAAGAGGCTGTGGGTACCACACAGGTGAGGCCTTACCCAGTGAGACCAGGAGGCCACAAGTCTCCAGCATCACCTCCTGGTATAAGGTCCTCTGGGCCAGGTCCAGATGTCTCCATTCCTCCCCAGTGAAGGTTACAGCCACATCTTCAAATGATACCAATGCCTGGAAAGTCAAAGAGAAGTGGTGGGGTGCCTGTATGAGTCTACTGCTTGGTTAGTGGCAAAAGTCCAGAGAGACCCAAGGCCTGAATCACTGAGTATCTCCTGAGGACCAAGGTCTGTGCTGGGCTCAGGAGGGAGGTAGATGGTGCCTTTGACAGAACACAAAGGTGCAGGAGAGAAAAGCCACCTATATGGGAATCCACTGGGGAGTGACACAAAACAGTGGTAATCTTGTGTGGACTGTGAGTCCATTACTGTAATTCAAGTAATGATAACACAGCAGCAGCTGAGCCTCACTGGTCTGCACTGTTTGCCTGCACCTAAGGGCTTTAGATGCTGTGTTAAAGCAACTAAAAGTCTCTAGATCTGGAGCTAGACTTCCTGGGGCTTAAATCCAGCCTTTTGATGCTAATTTCTTTGAGCCTCAATTTCCACATTACCAACTTCACCATGTTGTTGTGGGAATTTAAGCGAAAATGTTCATAAAGCAAACACTGCAGTGCCCAGCACATGTCAGTGCTCAGTGTGTATTTGTGAATTTCATTAATCCTCCTGCAGCCCATGGGGTAAACACCATCACTGTCTCCATTTCACACTCAGCAAATGCGGACTCAAAGTCAAGCTGCCCAGAGTCACAGGTCTAATGAGAAGGGGCAAGATTTGAAACCAGGTCCCTCTGGTTCAGCCACGGTGGGGGAGTTAGATTTAAGTATGATGGGAGCCCCAGACGGTAGAATCTTTCATTCATCAACTGCTTACTGAACACCTGGTACAGGCCCTGCACTCTTCTAAGCCTGGGGATAAAGCAGAGAACAGGACTCACACTCTTGTCAAGGAAAGATCCTTGACAAGAAACTAAATAAATGATCAAGATAAAGTCATATGGCCCTAAGGGCTCCGAAAAAAAACCCAAAAGTGAGTGAGATGACTACAAAGATTATGGGAGACTTTACGATACGGGAGACTTTAGATGGGGCAACTGGGGAAGACCTCTCTGAGTGGATGTGGAACAAGGCTGGAATGAAGTTAGGGAGCAAGTCAGGTGAGGAAAAATGGGTAAATAAGAGAAGTTCTGAAGGTGATCTGAGCTATGATGAGAGCAAACAAGGTGGCATGCTGAAGAATAACTTAAGGCCTGTCCATGTGTTTACATGCCTTGAGAAACAACATTCCTATGCACTGTCATTAAGGAATACTGTAATGGATTCACTTTTCAAATATAAGTAAATGTGCTTGGAAAATGGGTTCACTGCCATAAGTGGCAAGCCAACTTCACTTGTAGTACCCAGATGGCATCTGCAAAGATAAATTCAGTGACTGGCTTGTCTTCTGGTCTGTCCAGGGAACTTCTACTCCTATTAGAGGAGCAGCAATTCCAAAAACGCTGCTCCCACCTCACCTCTGCTCTAGAGGCTCTCTCATCCCAGTCTCCCAGCTTTCAGCTGGGTTGAGGCCCGAGGCAGGGAGGCCTGAGGGTCAGACTCCACCTGGGTGTGAGACTAAGATAACAGCAGGACCAGGAGAGTCCCTCTCTGGAAACCACATCGAGAGTGATGCTCTCTGGGTCCTGCTGAGCACTGAAGGTCACACGTCACACGCATATCCTCTCCAGTTCCCTCAACCGAAAGAGAAAAATAGTTAATAGTCCAATTTTAGACCCGAGGGAATGGAGGCCAAGGGAATGGAGGCCAATCGACAAGCTCAAGGTTAGAGCCAGAAATGGGTGCCTCTCCACACCTGAACCCCTGGCCCGGATTCAGAAGCCTGGATTGGAATTGATTAGTACTGTCGTTCCCACACCCCATTCTCACTGGACCTCCAGATCCGACAGTATTAAGAGGAAAAGGCGAAAGGTCCCAGGATTCCCTATATCATAGCGAGTGGAACTGTGCTGACAGCGACCCCAGCGCACATGGGCCTGCGGAACCCTCCACTCACCAGCTCCGGGGCCGCCATGGGGCCCAGTGGGCAGAGTGGGACGACGAGAGGCGGCGACGAAAGCCGGTCCAGCGGGCTCAGCCGACTCCTCAGGCCAGCCCTGGGCGGGGGCACCTGGGACCTGAGTGTCCGCGGTGTGGGGTGAGCACAAGGCCCCGGGAGCCGCCTCTGGGACCTGCGGAGACCGAAAGCTGGGAACGAGCTCGGAGAGTGCTCGGCTGACAACCCGCTCGAGAGGGGGTCACGGCTCATACAAAAGCGTAGAGGTGGGTCCCATTCTCCTCGCGGTCCTTTGCTCGGTCTTGAAGACCTTTTTCTAAGAAGCGGCCAATGCCCAGTGCTCCAGCCAGAAAGGCCAGTAAGGACATACCGGCCACTTCCAAACGACGTCCTAAGACCCGACGCCAGAAGCTCCGCCCAAGCTGCAGCAGGGAATACCGGCCTCCGCCGTCAGTCATTGAGTCAGCGCCCGCCGCCGACGTTCGAGGCACTGCCTTGTGGGTAACGTAATTTCTGACTGCATCCGGTGAACTGGGGAGCTCACTTCCTGTTTTCTGTGAAAACTGTACCCTGAGGTTCCAAAGAGGGGGCGTGGCCTCGTTTCTTCTTAAAGGCACGCAGATTTCCTTGTCCCTTCAGGCAATGCCCCGCCCTTAAAGGTCTGTAACACGTGACCCATGCCTTGACCTTCCGCACTGTACTCCTGCCCCAGCGTTTCACCTCTCTGAGCCAGGATTTACAATGAAAAATGAAGATTATTCTTTAAGATAGTAATTTAAAGTGTTCCCCTAATCCGTGGTTTCCAACCCACAGACCACATCAGCATTACCTGGGAATTTGTTACAAATACAAGGCCTCAGACCCCACTTCAGACATACTGAATCATGTACTCTTGGGTGGGGCCCTCATACCTGTGCTTAAGCCCTCCACGGGATTTTAATGCTCCAACACAGTTAAGAACCGGACTCTTTAAATTCCAGTGAATGAGACAAAACTATCTACTTCCTGGGAGATAACTAAAAAGTGCTTAGCACTAGGCCTAACATAATGATAAGTACTTAAGAGCTTTTGCTGTCATTTTATTATTATTTTATATTAGTATTATTGGCAATGTCTTCACAAGGATATGGCATACGCTGCTGTGAGAATAAGTCTGATATACTTCTTTGCAGAGTCATTGGTGATATTTGTCAAAACATGAAATATATTGACTCTCTGGCTCAATAAGAAGCCTCCTAAGCAGTGTTTAAGACTTCTACATAATACAGTGTTGTACCATTTGGCTCACGTCATTTTGTTTTTTTTTAATGGTCCATGCAGCAGAGTTTCATAATATAGGTAAATCTATTTACCAAGGGATACTTCCTTACAGGCCACATGATTCAAAATTTAGCATCACCAGGAGTAATTGCCTGCAGGCCTAAGTGAAGAGTAAAGTTGACATGGTTTCTAGTTTGTTGGTTAAGATGACGTTATTTTTCATCTTTAATTCATAGGAACCAGGACCTCACCCTTCCAGCCCTCAGGGCAGCCAGGCACAAATGAATGGTCGTGAGACAGCCAAGTCTAACACTCAGGGTCTCAGGGTCACCAAGTCTTGTTCTCATCAAGGGACTGTCAACCCATCACCCAAATTTAGAGTCCACAAGAAGATGGCAGTAAATCCTGGGGGTTGTGAGAAGTGAAAGCATTAAGTCCAAAGAGGCATTCCGAGGATGGAGCAGAAATGAGAAAACATAATGATGACAGCTTCACAATCACTTCTGCCCATATTCCATTACCCACAACTCATTCACATGGTCCCCAAATGGATTGATGACCACCCAGCCATTTTCTAGCACAATCCTTTAATTTGGTCATCAGGTATCCTTTTTATTATTTATCCTCTACATTCCACACTCTCACTTACTCCTTAATGTGACAAGCCAAAACCCTGTCCTGTCTCTGACCTCATCTAAATTTTAGAATCTCAGAGTGATGTGTCATATTACGCATCTGGTCCAGATTTTGTTCCTCTAAGATCAGGAAGCTCAAAACAAAGCTAAATGTGGCTTCTACCCAGACCTGATGTGCAACTGCCAATCAAAGACATGATGGAAGGACATAAACTACTGGGAAAAATACCCCTGCCAGCTGAAATTTCTATGCACAGCAAAGTACCTTCCAAGAACAGTGTGAAATAAGACCATTTAAGGCCAAAAATGTGAAATGAATGGAAAAATAACCCTCACAAAATGACAATCTAAAGATCATGTTTAAGGCCAAAGTAATTCCAGTTGAAAATTCTGCAATGATAAAAGGAATAAGTATACAAGAAAGGTGTGTTTGTGCATTTATACAAGCACTGATTAGCTATATGAAATCATTATATTTCCTTTTCGAGTTAGAAAGATGAACTTACCATATATATCCTCAATAACACATAGTTTAATATGGGGAAATTGTTCTAAATCCATTATATTGTCCAAATGGAAGTAATTTATAAATCTATACTTTAATATGTTAAAGATGTAAATAGATGGAAAGATATTTTGTGTTAATGAATTGGAAGACAACACAGTAAGGATGTCAAATCTCCCCAGACTGATAAATAGGTTTAATATAATTCCTATCAAACTAACAGACAGGGCAGGGTAAACAATTTATAATTCAACTAGTTTGAATAATTTCAATGGGCTCTAAGTTATAGGTGTGGTAGCTGGTTGCCTGGTACCTGGCCCTGGAATGATTAAGGCAGAGGAATATTGCTTCCTGGGGCACACAGGCAGATAGAGGAGGTAGAGCTCTGGATTGATTAGTTTGCATGTTCTGGGCTGAGTCCTTTGCTATCCTCAAGAATTGGCTAGCCCTGGGAGGGCTAGTCTCTCCCCAGTCAGAGCTGCCCCTTCTAGGGCTAGCCAATTCTTTTTTTTTTTTTTGCGGTATGCGGGCCTCTCACTGTTGTGGCCTCTCCCGTTGCGGAGCACAGGCTCTGGACGCGCAGGCTCAGCGGCCATGGATCACGGGCCTAGCCACTCCGCGGCATGTGGGATCTGCCTGGACTGGGGCACGAACCCATGTCCCCTGCATTAGCAGGTGGACTCTCAACCACTGCGCCACCAGGGAAGCCCTAGGGCTAGCCAATTCTTAAGGGCAGCCATACCTCCTGAATATACATTGTTTACCCTGCTCTGTCTTGCCTTTCTCATGGAAACTCCAATAGTCTGTGGCCTAAACCTATCTCTTGCTCTTGCTTCTGTTTTCTGACCAAAATCTCCTGTGGCCCTGCATGGCATGCCATTCCTCTTGTTTCCAGGGGAACTGAGTGACATTATAAGCTCCTTTCAGTGGCATTGAGAGAGAGAGAGGAGAGGGAGAGAGAGGAGGAGAGACTATAAAGGGATAAAGGGATATCATGAGGGAGATTTTCACGGAGATAGGATGGTTCTGTATCTTGATTGCAGTGGTGGTTACACAATTCTTCACATGATGCAATGATGTAGTATTACATGTACACACATTGTATGAGGATTAAATTCCTGGTTTTGATATTCTAATAATTACCTAAGAAGTAACCATTGGGGAGAAACTGAGTGAAGGGTAACATGACTTCTCTACTATCTTTATGACTTATTTTGAATCTATAATTATTTCAAAAACAGATCATGTCACTATCCTACTGAAAACCTCCTATGGACTCCCAGAGCACTTAACATAAAATCCAAATTTCTCATCATGACCTATGAAGACTTATGCCCCAGCCCCCTGTGCCCTGTATCTCACTGCCTTGCACTTTCTTCCTTCAGCCACATTGGCTTCACTTGCTTTCTTCACTAGACCAAGCTCTTTTCAGCCCAGGGGTTTTGGCACATGCTAGTTCCTTTATCAGGAATGCTGTTCCCCACCTTTGAACCTGGTGAGACTATTCCGTCCTGCAGGGGACTGCATGATGTCAGCTTCTGTTTACTCTGCTGTCCATCCTGAAGTTTGTACCTTAATGTCCATTGTCCCTCTTTTACCAATGAGAACACTGAGAAGTGATATTAGCAGGAAATGACAGATCAATATCCCTTACGAATATATCAATAGATACAAAAATCTTCAAAAAAATATTAGAAAACCAAATCCAACATCATTTAAAAATTTATAAAGGGTTATACACCACAACCAAGTGGATTTATCCCAGGAATGCAAGAGTGGTTCAATATAAGAATATCAAGTGGGGACTTCCCTGGTGGCGCAGTGGTTAAGAATCTGCCTGCCAATGCAGGGGACATGGGTTCAAGCCCTGGTCCGGGAAGATCCCACATGCTGTGGAACAACTAAGCCCGTGCGCCACAACTACTGAGCCTGTGCTCTAGAGCCCGCGAGCCACAACTACTGAGCCCATGTGCTGCAACTACTGAAGCCTGAATGCCTAGAGCCAGTGATCCACAAGAGAAGCCACTGCAATGAGAAGCCTGTGCACCGCAACAAAGAGTAGCCCCTGCTCGCCGCAACTAGAGAAAGTCCGCGTGCAGCAATGAAGACCCAATGCAGCCAAAAATAAATAAAATAAAATAACATTAAAAACAGAAAAAATAAAATCAATAGACCACATTAATAAACAGAAAAAGACATGATAATCTTAATTGACAAAGAAAATGCATTTGATAAAGTCCAACACCTTTTTATAATAACAATAATAGTAATAAACACTCAGAAAACTAGAGATAGAGGAAAAATTTCTCAATGTGATAAGTGGTATTTACAAGAAAGCCACTGTTAAAATTATACTCGATAGTGAAAGACTGAAAGCTTTCTCCCCAAGATTAGGAACAAGACAAGGATTCCTGCTTTTAGCACTATCATTCAACAATGTACTAGAAGTTTTAGCCAGAAATTAGGCAAGAAAAAGAAACAAAAAGCATTAAATTTGGAAAGGAAAAAGTAAAACTACCTCTATGCACAGGTGACATGATTCTAAATATAGAAAGCCTCATAGAATCTACCAGAAAAACTACATGTATTCAGAAAAGTTGCAGGGTACAATATCAACATGCAAAAATCAGTACATTATTGGTGGGAATGTAAAATGGGTCAGCTGCTGTGGAAAAAGAGTTTGGTGGTTCCTCAAAAAGTTAAGCATAGAACTACCACATGGCATATGATTCCATGGCTAGGTATACACCCCAGAGAATTGAAAACAAGTACTTCAACAAATACTTTCACACAGTGTTAATAGCAGCACTATTCACAATAGCCAAAAGGTGGAAATAATTGAAATTTCTGTCAATGGATGGATAAACAATGTGTGCTATAAACATACAACAGAATGTTATTCAGCTATAAAAAGGAATGACACAAGGAATTATACAATGTGGATGAACCTGGAAAACTATGAAAGATTTATAGAAAAATAGAGAAAATGGTGAAGCCTAGATAAAGAATTCTTAGACATGATTGCACAGGACAGAAGAGAAAAAACTGATAAATGAGACTTTATCAATTTTAAAGCTATTTGTTCTGTGAAAGTATTTTGA